TGCTTGCTTGATTTCTTCGTCCCACCACTTCACTGCTCTCTTACAAACTATCAACTTTCTACCTAGAACTCCGCTTGCTGTTGTGTTTACCAGCTCTTCCCACCCTTCTATGATTCTAGACCCGGCCTGGTCCCGGCCTTCGGCATCCTTCGGTGTACCCATTGCCTCCATCAACTCCGAGAGTTTCTTGTCGTTTATAGCCATCTCTTCTTGGAACTCTACCCTCGTTTCTTCTACTTCTAGCTTATCTATTCTCCATCTGTACATTTTCCTGCGTCGCCTACTCTGTATGACTCTCTTCTGTTGTAGGGCTGTCCACACCAACGCGTGGTCTGTAGTGCCTACATCCGTAGTGCATACTCGTACTTCCGTCTCTTTCCCCCCATTCTCTACGACTATATAGTCAAGGATGGATCGTTCTCCTTTTTTGAAACATTGCCTAGTCCATTCCGGTTCTGTCTTGCGTACTCTACCGTTCAACACCTTCATCTCGCTACTGTCAAGGAACCTCAGCATTTCTTCCCCGTTTTTGTTCGTGGCTCCCTCCCCGTATTGCCCTATGGTTCCGTGTGGGTTCGTGGTTCGCCCGATTCTTGAATTGAAGTCCCCCAACTAGAACTACTTCTCCCTTTCTCTTGAAGTTTTGTACATCCGCTGCTACCTCCTCGAAACCTATCCTGATGTCTTTCACCATATTCTTCGACTCTGGTGGCATATATACATTTCCTACGAACAAGTCCTTTCTTCCCCGTTCCCCTGGTACCCTTATCCACATGCTTTCGTTGAATTTGGTGTCGCTGATCACCTCAATTATGTCGCACATGTGCTCCTTGACAAAGAATCCAACTCCCCCCTCCCCTCTACTCTTGATTTTCTGTCCTCTCCTCATTTTACCTATCCATGTGTAGCTTCCCACTTCTTTTCCTATTTCTCCCCCGTCCTTCTCCCACGACTCTTGGACTCCGACTATGTCCAGGTCTTTTTCGGCCGCTTGCTCGGCAATTTCGAGTCTTTTACGCTCATCTGTGGCAAATCCGCATACATTCCAAGACCCTATTCTGATTTCCTTACTCCTACTTTCTACTTTCCTGTGCCTTTCAGGATTCCTTTTGTCCCTCATTTGCCTTCCCTTCTGCCTTATCCTATCGCTGCCCCCCCCTTCTCCTACTTTGGCTTGCTTTCCCTTTTGACCCTTTCGGGCCTCCTGGGGTGGGGGGGGGGGGGGGACTCATAATCCTGCATGCCCTAATCCTTTGAACATTGACCTCCCATCCCTACAAAGCCGGGACGGAGCATGCCGGGTTCTCACCGGACCAGGCTCTCACATCACCAAGCGCGAAGCGCCGTGAGGTATTTGGCGAGTCGCATGAAGGGTGAGCTGCCATCCTGCTAAGGGTGTTCGGCATCTTGTGCTTACTTCCTTGCGTACGGATGACAGCTACGTATGACTTAATTTATTTTCTGGTGCTTTCAGTTCCAGAGACAGTTGTAAGCACTGTGTAACTGCCTCGAGGAAGCTTGACCATTTTAACACAACGTGGCGCGATCATCCCCCGTTGCGCGGAGTGAGGTTTCTCCACCCCGCACAACATGATCTACTCGACCACCATTATGGTTACCGCCAAAAAAAAAACCGAGGTAAAAAAAAAAAACGGTAACCTGGTTGCCGAGTTCACGAAGTGAATTGGCTTGTTTTACAACGTCGTTGCCAAGCGACGAAAACCCAATCCCGATGGCAAACACCGAGTGGGGGGCTTGTTTTACAACGTCGTTGCCAAGCGACGAAAACCCAAACCCCGATGGCAAACACCGGGGGGGGCGGCTTGTTTTACAACGTCGTTGCCAAGCGACGAAAACCCAACCCCGATGGCAAACACCGAGGGGGGGGAAGGGGGGGGGGGTACGCATTCATGCCGTAATCGTTAAACCATTGACCTCCCATCCCTGCAAAGCCGGGACGGAACATAAAAAGGGGGGGGGGGGGGGTCTCCCCCAGTAC